TGATGGGGTTCTTGTGAGAGACCTTTCTACGGATGTAGACTGCAGTTAATGACATCAAATTGGGGATTAATATTTCAAAATATGAATTTGATGGAACAGGATATAAACATTCAATGTAAACATACCATGCTTTCATAATTCAAATTTAAACATTCTGCGACGGACATTTTTTGTCATTTTGTTTCATTCTGAAAAATAATCATTACCAATGAAACTGAGGAACTGTCTGTGACATCATTGGTTCTTATTTTAGAGATGTTATAACACTAAACATATGTACCCCAGAAAATGAAATGTACAAGTATCTGAACTTTTCAAGCATAAAACACAGACTGTATTATACTGCTGTTTCATAGATGAGGAAAATTAATACAGAAGTTATAAATAAAAATCACAAGAACACAAAACTAATATATTGTGCAGCTGGAATTCAGAACCAAATTTGACTCTGTGATTTATTGTCTCTCTAAAGATTTCTACTTCTAAAAAGTTCACTGTTGGGGCCAGCACTGTGGCGTAGAAGGTATAGACACCACCTGGAGCTCCAACATCCCATATGGGCGCCAGTTCGAGTCCTGGCTGCTCCACTTCTGATTCAGCTCTCTGCTCTAGCCTGGGAAAGCAGTGGAAGATGACCCAAGTCCTTGGGTCCCTGCACCCCCGTGGGAGACCTGCAAGGATCTCCTTGCTCCTGGCTTCAGTTCAGTACAGCTCCGCCTTTGCAGCCAACTGGGGAATGAACCAGCACATGGAAGACCTCTCTCTCTCTCTCTCTCTCTCTCTGCCTCTGCCTCTCTGTAGCTCTGTCTTTTAAGTAAATAAGTAAATCTTAAAAAAAAAAAAAAATTCACTGTTGATGACACTTGATTGCTGTTTACTTCTAGAAGTCCCTGTCATGACCCATATTTAATAACCTATTAAGAAATAATATCTATTAATAATAATATATTAAGAAATTCTGGTAGATTCATGAGGCAATCAATGGTGTAATCAAACTACAGATTTCCCCACTTTCTTAATTCTTGACCACTATGTACATGCTTCTCCCCTACTAAAACTCTAAATAATTTTTTGAAAAATTGATTTCATATTTATGCCATATATCATATTTTGAATGTAATAGTTTTCAACTCTTTAACAATTTGGGCAAATTATCAAAAAAATTATGGGACAGAGAAACCAGAGCTGCTTTAATCAAAAACCTACACAACTCACATAATCCAGTGTATCATAGCTATGTCTATGGTTGTGAACAAAATGATGGTAAAATATTTTTATGTTCTTAAGATTAAACAGAGAATATTGTAACCTTTTTTTTGAATTTTAACACTTATTTCTTAAACGCAAATAGTATTTTACATATTTAAATAGGTGGTGATAAAAATGTGTACAAATATTAATTGAATGCTTACTGTGAGCAACACCTAAGCTTAGTAATTTTTTGTCGCTATTTCATTGATTTTTCTTAACAAAAAATGTGGAATAATTTACTATTTCTATGTAAGATAGTAAGATTTCCACAAAGAACCCATTTATAAAGTTAAAACTGGAAAAATCTAGATTCACACCATTTACACATTTTTTTCTTTCCAAGGTGGCCTGGGAATACAGAGACCATCATTCCCTTTCAGGTTACAAAGCAAAAATGTGAGTCTTTCTTTAAAGCGGGAATGATCTCTTATTCTCCATATGTAGAAAGAGAGTCCTACATACATGAGGCTGGCATGGGTGACTGAATGGACACAAATTTACATATCTACATAATAGTAAATTTAAATTAGTGGAGTGCAAAAATTCTTTCTAGCCTTCAAATCAGCTAATTCTGCCTCTATTGAATTATTAGTACTCAGTAGACACTGTTGATTGTCTTGACCTCAATCTCTAGCACGTTTTCATTGCTTTCTCACTAAGCATACTGAGGCACTGATGGCAGAGACTAGTATTATGTCTAAATCAGATGTTATTTCTATTTTCAACCTGTTTTGAAAAAGATTAAGCCAAGCAATGGGTATCTTGCAAGAGGATGTTGGGTAGCATTACATTTACTTCTGGGCCTAGCTCCTAATAAAACCCTGAGAAGTCCCATGTTCTCTCTGGGTGCATAGCCTGTTGGAGAGAATGCTTGAGCCCATTCCATGGACACCTAAGGGCCAATGTGTCAGCAAATCAAAAGATTTCCATATTCCTGATTATTGGTTACATGGCAGTATGGCACAGAATAGACACATGGCTTATTAAGAGGAAAGGCTGTTGTGTACTCAATAAATACATCTTTCTTGTTGCCGGACGCTTGCCAGCGAGAGTCCAGCATAGTAAAGACACGATCGCTGCTTACTCGGTTCTCATGGAACTTTATTCATCCAGATGCAAGGCAAAAGAAAAGAAGCCAAGCACTCCTCCCCCTACACAATCCTATCCCCATTATATACCCTAGGTTCCCCTAGCAGGATGCTCCCAGCCAATGGCAAGTCTGTTCACATGCAGTCCATGCAGGCACAGTCCAATCAAGTTGAAGGGCACATAGTGTCTCAGGTCGAAAGTTCATCTTGCTCCGTCGGGGTTGTTTGTGTGTCTTCAGGACATCCTGTGGTTAGCACTTCCTTGACTTGTTTTTCTCAGCAGCCAGCACTTCCTTAACTTGTTTCGCACAAGTTGTTACAACAGGCCATGCAAACAGCAAAGTGAGGAAGTTCCCACAGGTGGCCAGCCTGCGGTTCCCCACATCTTGTGTAAGTCACTGAGATTTTTTATGCATTTACCTAATTCAGCATCCAAAATATCATTAATTCTTCTAAGCTTAATTACATGTATTTTATTTGAGGCTGAAAATAAAAAGGATTTAAGGTAGATTCACAGTATCTTCATCTTAGTTTTCATTTCAGGCTTTCAGTTTGTGCCTGAAGCCATGTTGGAACAGTGAAACCCTCATTAATGGAAGTACACAGTCAAAATAGTTTAAAATTGAGGAGAGATTCTTCAAGAATTATTGAAGGCCCAGGAACACATGCTGAGAATTTTGGAGATACATCAAATAAATATGCAAAAAATAGCATTTAGATTTTTTTATGTCTTGGTGGGTAGTACATAAATGTATACCCTAATGTATTCATTTTTACTTCATTGAGGTTTCAGCTTTGTTTTGTTGTGAATTGATGATATAAACTTGAGAGGAGACTATAAAACACACAGAAAGGAGAATCTACTGTAATGAAACCACTTATAATTAATTTATGGTCTCCAAGATCAAATATTCTACAAAGCTTGGCATAGTTTACCCTCTTCTAGCTTAAAGTTAACTTTGTGAAACTTCTTGAGTTGTAATAAGAAAAATATCAAAGAGAGAAGCATATGTGTATATATGTATGTTTTTTTTTTCATTTTTTATAGTTTCTCAGAAAGGTCTTTAAAACCAAGACTACTTCAGACCAATTATACTTGGAGTCATTTGCTGAAGTACTTAATGTGGAGTCCCAAGTATCTAAACTATTACACTAAATTGGCTTTACAGGAATGATCCTTTCAAATGAGACTTCTGACAAAAAAAGAAGACAGTTATGCTTTACTTATCTAATTCTTAAGCAATTTAAGGAAATAACCTCAGTAAGTAAAGCTACTAACATCTAATTTTTGGTCTCAAGCTTATTTATTTCTCTGCCTCCTAACAATTCTTGATGTGTGCATTTGAATATAGACGGGCTGACAAACAGAAAGGGAGTGAGGGAGAGACCTTGAGTGGGAAAATCTAAATTTTTTGTGATTTGTATATAAATCATTTGAACATCCAAGTTTTCCTTCCAGGAAAAAGAAAATAGAATTATACAGGAAAATTCACAAGTTTAATACAGTGGTTAAATTTGAAAATATGCAAAATCTTGAAAGAAATACAAAATGACAGGGAGCTGGGCTAACACTGGATGACAGGACTGAGTACAGGCTGATTGGATTATGATACACATTTAAATAAAAGATTAGATTCAGAAAATGGAGACTAAGTGGAACTTCAGCATGACCTGGGCAAGAAGTGAGAAACCTAAAAGGAACAATATTTTATTTTGTGTTCATATCTTTTGTTTAAAAAATTGCAACCAATAGTAGAATCGTCCAGAAATCTTTGGAACCTAGGACATATTACATTAATTAACTTTAAAAACAATTAATTATCAGAGATGTAAGTAACTTGTTTTAAAGCAGACATTTAAGCAACTTCCAATAGATAACAGAAATCAAGGTGTGTACTCAAGAAAAATCATGTTTTTCCAAATCTCTTTCAATGACATACACTTGTATCTGTATTTGGGCTAATTATCATTATATGAGTCAGAACAAATCGGCCATGTAGAGAGTAGTTTTGTTTGGCTTGGGTGTCTCTATTAGTCTTTGATCTGATAGAAGCTAGCAATGGCAAAGCCTGTGTGGAAGAAGGAAAAACGTGGTGAGGCTGGGAGCAGAGGGAGACACAAGAAACACACTCAGATTATATGACCAACTCTCTCTCAAGAACTGTCTTCCTGGGACAAGTACCCAGAGACCTAAGGACCACCCACCAAGACCACCTACCAGAAGCAATAAGATCAAGTCTCCAGCCTTCATCTATCAAAGGTTAACATAAAACTAGGGTTTAAGCCGGCGCCCCAGCTCACTAGGCTAATCCTCTGCCTTGCGGCGCCGGCACACCGGGTTCCAGTCCCGGTCTGGGCGCCAGATTCTGTCCCGGTTGCCCCTCTTCCAGGCCAGCTCTCTGCTGTGGCCAGGGAGTGCAGTGGAGGATGGCCCAAGTGCTTGGGCCCTGCACCCCATGGGAGACCAGGATAAGTACCTGGCTCCTGCCTTCGGATCAGCACGGTGCGCTGGCTGCGGCGGCCATTGGAGGGTGAACCAATGGCAAAGGAAGACCTTTCTCTCTGTCTCTCTCTCTCACTGTCCACTCTGCCTTTCAAAAAAAAATAATAAATAAATAAAGAAAATAAAAAAAAAAACTAGGGTTTAAACATCTGCATGAATTTAGGAATCCAAGCCCTGTTCTGTCCATTTGAATATTATGATTTGGACATTATGAGACACTGACTTTAATTATCAGGATTGCATAAATAATCAATTCATAGTGCTAGTACATAAACATATTTTAATGTTTGTTTTTTTAATGATGTATCATATAATTTTCAAATTAAGATAATATTGCAGAAGTGTAGTGTCCTGCACAGATACTCTGGGCTCAGTGACATGGTTTCTTCAGCAGCTGAACACTAACATGGTGTCAACTTGGTAACATGTTAACTTGATATAAACAAAGGCATGAATTGTGCTTGTGCAGTGTGGCGCTTGGAAGTCTGTCTTTGTCAAAGCAAAAGTGCTGTCTCATTTTGAGCACTAGAATGTTCTGATGTGGAGCACATCTGACCGCCACGCAGAGATTACCTGAATGCAGGACAAAGAACAAATTATAGCTCTTTTAATTCCTTAAATTCGGATGTTATGGCATGCAAACAGAAAGCACTATTGCAAACAATCTCAGTAGAGCTATTTTATAATTTCTGATAGTTAGCAATTCAGCATTTTCATTGGCAAATATTATCATATATATTCAGTGCCAGAAATATCAGAAGCTAACACTAAAATTAAACATTCCTTGGTTACTTATTGTGCATTAGGAATAGTGATCAACTCTGATAATTTTCTTTAATCTCAACAATCCCAAAGTGTAATAATCACCATTTTTTTACAGATGTTCAGTGATTTCACTGGAGCACACAGCTGACATTTTATAGAAATAGAACTTAAATACAGAAAAACTTTCTCCAATGCCTATATTTTATGTCATGTTTAAATATCATATAGTATATACATGTGAGCTTAATAAATTTGTCACTTTAATATATTTCGTACACAAATATATCTTCTTCATGCTACACATATTTTCCATTCTACCATGTAAAAGAATCTTATCTACTTTAATAATCCCTTTTAAATGCCTCAGTTGCATACATATTTATAATAAGAAGCAGAATTGATGGAGAACTACAAGATAAACTAATATACTAATGCCAAATATTTATTGAGAAATACTTAGCGATAATATAAAAGTGATAAAAACTCATGAGTAAAAATATGGCTTCACTGTAGTCCTCTCCATACCACACAGGTGGTCTCTTCAAGAGTAATTACTGGATAGATAAATATGGGGCATTCATGTCAACGGAAATTATGAAGATACTGAAGTAGCTTTCTGAAAAAACTGGGTGTTTGAATAACTAATTTTTATAACATTTGTGAAAGTCATTAAGGTAACCCTTCTGAGGTCATTAGAGGACATTACAGGAAGCTCTGAAATATTAATGGTCTATTTCATCTCAATAACACCGCCGCCCTCAATTTCTATTCCTCACACCACATAAAGTAAAAAAAAAAAAAAATACTTAGGGTAGACCATGATATAGAATGATCCTAAAATTTAAAATCCAATAGAGGATCCCATGTAGAATAGTAAGCAAACATTAGCCAATGAAACAGCATGCCAGAAATGTAATATGATATTAAAAGGAACAAAATGAAAATAGTTACCATAACAGGTCAGACTTGTACATTAATAGTAAATGGCTGTTATTATTTTCATTGATTGGTGGTGTTCACCAGCATCTAAAATCAAGTAATGGTTTGGCCCAAATGGTAAAGCATCATTTAGTCAAAGATCTGAATGATTTGTATTCCTCCTCTGCCACTGACCTTGCATTATATAAATGCATTATTTTCATTTTTTAAACTTGTAATACTTTCTACATACTTCCAAATATACAGTTATTTTTTAGTTGTATTTTTTCAGCTATGTGATACTGTAACCTCTTAGCAATAACTGATTTCCAGAAGTATTCACATAAGCTTAAGGATTTTTAAGTCTTTCTGAATTTCCTTACAAAACATAATCTACCACTTTTAAAATCACTTAAATTTAGCCATGGCAGCTTGAATCCAAATTAGATTCATTCTATGCAAATATCAAACCTAGACTTTTTTTTTTTTTTTTTTTTTGACAGGCAGAGTGGACAGTGAGAGAGAGAGAGACAGAGAGAAAGGTCTTCCTTTTGCCATTGGTTCACCCTCTAATGGACGCCGCGGCTGGCGCACTGCGGCCGGAGCACCGCGCTGATCCGAAGGCAGGAGCCAGGTACTTATCCTGGTCTCCCATGGGGTGCAGGGCCCAAGCACTTGGCCCATCCTCCACTGCACTCCCTGGCCACAGCAGAGAGCTGGCCTGGAAGAGGGGCAACAGGGACAGAATCCAGCGCCCCGACCGGGACTAGAACCCGTGTGCACACGCCGCAAGGTGGAGGATTAGCCTAGTGAGCCGCAGCGCTGGCCGTCAAACCTAGACATTTATCTTAATATTGGTCAGCTGGCCATTTTCCCCGACCATTTAGAATTCTGATATTAACTTTAAAATACTATTGATTTCAAAAATCTATACAAAAGTCAACTTTTCAAGTCTCTAATCATAAAGTAACATGAAGAAACATAGTAGGTATATCAAGAATATCTAAATCTAAAATAATACACAACATTAAATAAGAGTAACTGACATGAAAATTGATGTCTCCACGTTTTATTTTAATGTAATAAATATCAAATGCTTTATGTAATTTTTGATGGTCGCAGTTATTACCACATTATTGAATAATCAACCCTTTTACTTTCTCATTTGAGCCATTAAATACTTACACATTAAATTACTTAACAGCATTAAAGATTATGAAAAAGACAAAAGAAACACCATGCATTCTTTTTCCATTTGTATAGTAACTGAGATATTTCTCAGGGGCTTGGAATTTCTCCAAAACACACAGCATATCATCATAGACTGAATAGGTACAGCACATCTAAGAGGCTCAACTGCCGCTGGTCAATTGACATTCTGCAGATAATTTGACTCAAGCTAGCAGAAGCTCTGCCAGCGTGGAGCTTGAGTCAACAGCTACAGCAGTGTGTCACAAGTTCAACAGGCCACTATGCCCTTCTTTCCAGATGAACTCCAGCACTTTGTGCATATTCATAGGCTGCAATGCAATTCTCATTCTCTTTCCAATTCTTGGTCTCTGAGATTTTTCTTTTAATATAAAAAGGAAGCAGCACGACCCCATCTTAAATATTGAAATATTCACTGACCTCTGGTTATTCCCGCAATATCACTAGTATTGGTGAATAATTCAAATTAAATAGTTTCCTTTATATTCCATGGTAGAGGACTTCATTTACTTTCTTTGAGTAGTTTCTGCGTGTGCTGTTCTCACCCTGCATTATTCATATGCAACCTCACAAATTGCTTCAAGTTCAGGCAATGCTGATATAAATCATAAGGCTATTTTCTCTGGAGGACTTCAGCCTTAAGCTCCACAACTTGTTTTAAAATGAAAACTGTTCAATTAAGGTGATTTGTTTGCTTCAAAAATTAACTATCTTATGTTGCTATTTGCAAGGAGAGAAGGCTGAAGTTACATTTCATGATGCTGAATAATTTTAAAAATTACTTATTTTCTATATCACTCTTATTGTGTCCTTGAATGTAGTTTTTCCTGTGCATATATTTGTGCCTAGCTCACATTCCTGAGGCTATAAATATACCTATCAAAACTTTGTTCCCTAAAAGTCCGAGATTTGGGGCTGGCGCTGTGGTATAGTGGGTAAAGCCACCACCTGTGGTGCCAGCATCACATACAGGCACTTGTTCGAGTCCCAGCTGTTCCACTTCTGATACAGCTCCCTGCTAATGCACCTGGGAAAGCAGCAGAAGATGGTCCAAGTCCTTGGTGCCCTGTACCCTCATGGGAGACCTGGAAGAAGCTCCTGGCTCCTGCCTTTGAATTGGCCCAACTTTGGCCTTTGCAGCCATTTGGGGAGTGAACCAGCAGATGGAAAACTTTCTCTCTCTCTCTCTATCTCTCTCTGCCTCTGCCTCTCTTTAACTCTGACTCCTGACTCTCAAGTAAATAGACAAATATTCTTAAACATAAGTTTGACATTTTGATTTTGAGTATTTATGCTAGAAACAAACTAATACTGTGTTCTGTTTTTCCCAGGTCCATCACAGTAGGAGAGGAAATAGACGGTGCTGGAGGGTGCATAAAGATAAATAAGTGGGAACACAAGCAAACTGAGAAATGAGTTCTAGTGTGGAGCATGGCTATAAAAGTAGTGTTTTAGGAGTTGTTACCAAACAAGACCCTTTTGCTATGCAATCCAAACAAAATAATCCAAGCCACCTGTACAGAAAAGAAAGGTTTTATATGTGTGGCTTGCAAGCACTGGGACATGGGGAAGACCCAAATCTATATCTTAGACCAAGGGTCTGGAGAAAATTTATTGCATCTAGGAAGGAGAAGTTATGGCCTGGATGCATTTATCAACAGGGGGAACAGATTGATAGGTCTGGAGCAGGATGGTGAGGGATTGGATCATTATGATGGGTTCAGTTATTAGATGCTGTCAGCTCTGTGATCATAGGGTCTCTTGTTTCCTAAGGCTATGGCTCTTCTGTATCCATTCATTATCCAACATTTGGTTCCATGGTTGGGGAGAGGGGTCACAACTTGGGTTCCAGGCATTATCTGTACATCATAGTCCTCTGTTGTGCCCATGTGAAGCTCAGCTGGTCAGGCTCAACCTAGCTGAAATTAATTTAGGCCACCTTGGTGGTGAAGCATAAAAATAGCACTTGAGACAGTGATTAGTATCCTGACTTTTACAGCTGGGATCTATTGTTTAAGAATGGGATGGGGAAACACATTAAGGGGTTTTTGAGTTTTGGCACTGTCAAGAGGAGACCTCATTAGGGGCAGCAAGTTGTTTTCAGAGGGATGTCGCTGAAAATGGCAAAGGAGGCAATCAAGATTTCTCCTTCCACAGAAACAATGAACCAACAAAAATCATCAAAATCAGTATTTTAAAAAACTCTAGGATCCAATGAAAAGCTTACAGCAATTGAGGAAGACTTGGTGGGAAAAAAAAGGCGCATTTCAGAATGTATGATGGCCACCTCCACACTCCACATCAACAGCCTGAGTGAGAGAACCAGGAGTGCTAGGGATTTTGTTCTCAGAGAAGTGTGCTGTGATTTTGCAAATACCTGGCAACTCCTTTAAGAAGCAGTGCAAAAATTCCCTGGTTCCACTTGACATGAAGTACTCCCAGGACTGGAATTGCTTCCCTAATACATTGTGCCAGATGCATTTAGACCAATAATATTAGATAACAGCAACCGAGTCAAGAAAGAAGACTTGGGACAGCCTCAAGATACCATGCAGAGCATGCTTACAATCAGTGATCAACTAAGTAACAGGGGAAATTACAAAATATATTAGGATATGGAAATATAAACATAGCATACCAGCGGTCTTAGAACACAACAGAAGCAGTGTGCATTTGAAATTTTATAGCTATAAAAGCATCCTGTAGTCCTAGTACTATGGATGTTGATATTATAAGCACTAGCACCACTTGGACTCTCCTACCAGGACCTGAGGAAGGGTCCCTCCCTAATCACACAGTCCTAGAGCCACAGCAGTTGGTGCCATAAACACTGGCATCACTTAGGCTTGCTAGTAGGAAAAAGGGAGAACCACCCTTGTCTCCCTCTGCACCAAGAACAAAGCTCTGGCTATCACATTTGCCAGGCAGACTGATGCTAATCTCTCTGTGGACCAAAAATGCACACCTAAGGAAAACCTTATGCTCTCAAAGCCACACCTCTATTCCTACAAACTGCAGCAGATTACCCCACTGTGTCACTAACAGACACAGCTGACATTGATTAAGACAAAACAGATCCTCAGAGACTGTGCTACTGAGTTCATTTAGAACAAAGCCACAGCAACAAGTAAGTAATACATTGCATTCCAGCTAAAAAATAAACACTTTCCCAATAAAACCTACTCCATAAAGAAGAAAAGAATATACCAGATGGGCAGATGTTAATGCAGGGTCACAGGAGACATGAAGAGCAAGGAAACAGGACACCTCCAAAGGACACAATAATCTTCCAGAAATAGATTTGGAACTGAAAGAAATCTGTGAAATGACAGGTATATAATTCAATAAGTGATTGTGAGGAAACTCAAAGAGATGAAAGACAATACAGATAGAATAAAAATTTCAGGAAATCAGAGAGTGACACGAATGACTAAGGAGATTGAAGTCACTAAAAAGAACCAAATAGAAATTTGGAGATGAATCTTCAATCAGTGAAATAAAAATGTGATTTAGAGATTTAATATCAGAATAGAACAGCTGGAAGAATTTCTGACCCTCAGGAAAAAAATTTTGAAATAACCAAATCAGGCAAAAACAGAGAAAAGAATTAAGAGAATGAAGAAAGTCTACCTGAAACATGAGACACCATTAAATGATCAAATATTCATGTTATAGGCATTCCTGAAAGAGAACAAGAAGAAAAAGGCACAGGGAACCTGCCAAATGAAATAATAGTTGAAAAGTTCCCAGGTCTTTGAAAGAATATGGGTATTCAGATAGAAGAAGCTCAAAGAATCCAAAGCAGACTCAACCAATAAAGATCATCTCCAAGGCATATTGTCATCATATTGTCAAATGTTAAAGACTAGGAGAAAATCCTAAAGACAGTAAGAGAAAAGTGTCAAGTTCCACACAAAGGATAACCAATTAGATTACCATTCGACATCTCAGTGGGAACCTCATAGGACAGAAGAGAGTGGAAGAAGATAGACAAGGTCAAAAAAAAAAAAAAAAAAAAAAACTTCCAAGGAAGCATACTTTTTAAAACATTTTAAAAGATTTTATTTATTAATTTGAAAGAATTACAGAGGGAAAAAAGAGGGGAGAGAGAGAGAGAAAGAGAGAGAGAGATTGATTTTATTTGCTGGTTCACTTCTCAAATGGTTGTAAAGGCCAGGGCTGGGCCAGGCTGAAGACAGGTGCCCTAAACATCACCTGAGTCACCCACATGGGTCAGGGGCCTAAGCACTTGGGCCATCAGCTGCTGTTCTCCTAGGTGTAGTAGCAGGGAGCTGGATTGGAAGTGGAGCAGTGGGACTCAAACTGGTGTCCATATGGGATGCCAATACTGCAGACTGAAGCTTTCCCACTATGCCACAGCTCCAGCTTCCTCAGTCAAGTATATTATATCCGGCAAAGCTTTCCTTTAAAAGTTAAGGAGAAATAAAGCATATTCCAGATCAGCAAAAAACAGAGAATTCAACAAACAATAAATTCTGAAAGGTGTCCTGCAATAGAAGTAAACATGAGACACATTCACCATCAAGTTCACTGATAGAGCAGGTAGAATCATTGTCCAATCAAGAAAATGACAGATCTTAATTCTTTTCTGTCAGTAATAACCTTGAATGTCAATGGATTAAAAGTCTTAGGTTGGCTGAATGGATAAAAATTACAGGACCCCACTATATTCTGCCTAGAAGAAACTAAGTTCAAAAATAAAAATACACACAGACTGAAAGTTAGGGGTTAGAAAAAGACATACCAGGCCAATGGAAACCAAAAGAGAGCATGTATAGCTATCCTTATATCAAATAAAACAGACTTTAATTAAAAACTGTAAAAAGAAATAAAAAAGAACATTATATATTTGATAAAAGGTTGTATTCATCCAGAAGATATGTAACAAACATAAATATATGTGTACCCAACATAAGACCATCCACATACACACAGCAAATACTGATAGACCTAAGGAGAGATAGATTCAAATGTGATAATAGTGGGTGATTTCAACATCCCACTCTCATCAATGGTCAGGTCAGCGAGACAGAAAATCAATAAAGATGACATCATATTTGAAGATACTATCCAGCAAATGGACCTAATAGACATTTACAGGTCATGTCACGCAACATCTACAGAATACACATTCTTCTCATCAGCACGTGGAACATTTTCTGGGATAGACCACATATTAGTGCAAAAATCAACTCTCAGCAAATTTAAAAGACTGAAATCATTCCATGTATCTTCTCAAGCTATAAAGGGATAAAACTAGAAATCAACAAGAAGAACAATGGAACACACATAAATACTTGGAAATTAAGTAACATGCTACTGGATGATAAATGGGTCATCGGATAAATTAAAGAGGATATTAAAACCTTTCTTGAAATAAATGAAAATGAAAATACAACATATCAAAACCTGTGAAATACAGCTACATCAGTATTAAGAAAGACATTTATTAAATGCTTACATTAAAAACAGAGAAAAGTATCAAATTGGAAATCTAATGATACATCTTGAAAACAGAAAGACAAAGGCAAATCAAACTTACAATCAGCAACAGGTGAGAAATAATAAGTATCAGAGCAGAAATAAATGAAATTGAAATTTCAAAAGTACAACAAATTCTAGTGGGAATGTGGGGGAAAAGGTACCTTAATCCACTGCTGCTGGGAACATAAACTGGTGCAGCCACTGTGGAAGGCAGAATGGAGACGCCTCAGATCTGAAAATAGATCCATCATATGACCCAGCAATCCCACTCCTGGGAATTTACCTAAAGAAAATGAAATCAGCGTATGAAATTGTTATCTGTACTCCCATGTCCATTGCACCTCAGTTCACAATAGCTAAAATATGGAATCAATCCAGATATCCATCAACTGATGACTGGATAAAGAAATTATGATATATATACACTATGGAATACTACACACCAATAAAAAAGAAATCCTGTCATTTGCAACAAAATGGATGCAACTGGAAACCATTATACTAAGTGAAATAAGCCAGTTCCCAAAAGACAGATATGACATGTTTTCTCTGATCTGTGGTAACTAATAGATTACCTAAAATGAAGTGTATATACATGAAACTGGCATTTTCAGATTTGGCGATTATTTACAGTTCTTGTCTCTACCATGAAGGAATAGAGTTTTTCTTGTTTTCTTTATTCTATTTGTTCAACTTGTTACTTAGTGTAATGCTAATCTTATGAATATAAAGAAACCTGAAAATAGATCTTTGTTAAAATTACGAGTGGGGATAGGAGAGGGAGGAAGAAGAAGGGTGGGAATATGGGTAGAAGGGAGGGTATGGTGGGAAGTTTTAGTGTGTTCTTGAATCTGTATATATGAAATATATGAATTTTGTATACCTTAAATAAAATTTAAAAATACAGAAGATCAGCAATGCAAAAATTGTTTTTGAGAAGATAAACAAAATAGATAAACCTCTAGTAAGACTAATAAAAAAGAAAAATTATTCAAATAAATTCATAGATGAAAAAGAAAATTTTGCAGCTGATACCACTGAAATACAAAGGATCATAAGAACTACAGTGAAGTACTATACACTCATAAACTGGAAAACCTCAAAGAAAGGGACAATTTGCTGGATTCATATAACCTATCAAGATAAAATCAAGAAAATATAAGCAATCTAAGCAGACCCAGAACAAGCAATGAGATACAACAGTAATCAAAGGTCTTCAATCAAGTGAAAATCCAGGACCTGATGGATTTATTACTGAATTCTACAAACATTAAAAAAAAATAAGAAAGTAATTCCAATACTCTTCATTTATTAGAGGTAGTATCAAAGTATTGCTCTACGATGCTACCAGAAATTCATTCATAACTTAAATATACCCTCCATTATGAAGGCGAAGTGTAAGATCAATGGTGGCCTAGATTATCATCCATGCAGCACACAGAGATCTAATATGGGGAGAACAGGGGAATCCAGAATCACAGAATTTGTAGGTGAGACAAAAAGGCAGTGTTTCCAATTCCATCCCCAGATTGCAATGTATGTATTATTTTTAATTGTATTTGTAGTTCAAATGTTTTTATAAAGCATATTTAATTTCTACAGTCCAAGTGACAACTTTTTTCAGGTAAATATTGATAGTTCCTTAATCCCTATGTAAAACCTAATTCTATTTAATGGTACAGCATTAGCTTAACTGATAATTTAAAAATGAGAAAAAAAGAATCATATATTATTGAGACACATTATGTTAGCATTTAATAGCTACTATAATTTACAGGTTTCATATTGATAAAAATTAAGTCATACAAAATGTATTTACAGAGACAGAAAATATCTCCATTTTTTTTTCTTGGGAGATGGAAAGTAGACAGATATTAGATAGTAATCTATGCTGTCCTTACAAAGAATAGTCATAGAGTTTAAAATTGTAATCATATTCTTCTCTAGCCAACTGTTAAAATATGTGTTAGTCTTACCCATATAATGTGGGATGGATAAACTTTGGTCCATATGTCATGATTAGATAGTAAAAGATTCTTTCTGTATTAAAAAAAAAAAAAAAACTAAAGTTCATAGGTTATTTCCCAAAGACATCAGAATCATTCATTTAAAAACAGTTGTTTTAGACACATAGCCATCAAATGCCTCCAACAAAATAGGTAAAATAAATGAGACAGTTTAATGCTGAATAATTAATCCAAAACACAAAGAGAATTTCAGAAAGACAGCTTACTTTCAAATGTGAAAAAATAACATTTGATATTATGGGGGAAAACACATGAGAAAAAGTGCACCTCTAGGGCTCACTTTAGAATAGCCTTCCCTGGCAGCAATGGAGTCATTACAGCATCTTTTAACAGTGTATTATTTATAAATGTTCTAAGAGAGAAGCCATAATAGAAGTTTAACCTTCTGAAAATCTGAAAAGAAAGCCTATAGTTAAATATGTGTGTGTTTAGTATATAAAAAGCTTTCTTTACATTTATTTGATTATTTGACTTATTTTATATTAGAAATTAATAAAAATTAGAAGAGATTTCATTACTTTGTATTTTACTCATAGTAATATGAATTTTTTTTTCTTTATAATCGTGGTTAGTATATTGCAGTGTATTTTCTAATTAGTAGTCCATACTTCAAGAGTTAAATTTTAAATTAAATTTTATTACCCATTATATGACATCTGATTACCACTTTCAGTCATCCTAGTGGGAAACGGTTGCTGGCAATGGAATTGTTACAAAACATTCTTTACGTTTCACTTTAGAACTTCATTCTTTGAAAGGGACATCACATTTAAAGAAATACTATAAGATTATTTCAATGCTGAACAGTTGGAGCTTTCTCAGGCTAATCTATATTCTTTGTTACTTCAAATATTTCTTGTAGACTTAATGATGTGCCAGGTACTGTGTTCTGTGCATATTTGTCATTGCTGTTCCTCTGTAACATTTAGATCGTGAAGATAAGCGGTCTTATGCAATAGTCAAAGTGCTGGTACAGCTGAATGCATTAAGGAAAATTAGTATAAGAGGATAAATAATAGCAAGTCCTTTTGTTAAGGGTTTCCAATGTGTTAAACATGACTTGAAGAGTTTCACATCAGTTACCTTAATTAATTCATACAATAGCTACATCAAGTACCCAGAGCACAGAGAAGAGAAATAATTTGCCTGCTTACAACACTCGTCCACTACAATGGGTCTGTATTTGGACCTACACAAAGCAGAGTAACTTCTCCAGGGAAACTCACAAGCTTGATGATATAGTCCAATGCAAAAAAAAAAAAAAAAATCAAGGATCATACTTAGTAGATAGACTCTTCCACCCAAATATGAAGAAGCAAATGTTAGGATATGGGTGGATTTATATCTTCTAGGTCCCACTCTATTAATTCTATCACAGTTTTATATTAAGGAATAAAAGGAGAACACAAGGAAACACACAAAACAAAGCTTATTAACCTAACTCAAGTAAAGCAATTATTTAATTAGTTCATTGATAGGAAAAAGCAGGACTTCATCTCTAAGATCAATAAAGCCATGTAGTGGTTAAGATGGGGGTTTCCCATGCAAGAAAATGGGTACAAAGGTCTGTGTTTGGTTAATTAAAACAAACGACATTATTTATTGATAAAAAAAATAAGTCCCCCAAAATGCCCAATAGCAGTCTGGTGTACTGAGTTAACTCAAATGTTCATGGTCTTTTATCAGCTTCAATTGTAGATCCAGGTGTTACAGAACACAATATTCATTTTGATATCATTTAAGTAAGAGTTACTGTAAACAACATATTTTCTCTTTCACTTTCATAGAATAACAGAGAATGAAAAGTAAATGTAAATTCATTACTGTAAGGTCTTCATGAAAGATTTACATTCATTCAAGGAAATAATTTCTACCTCTATGTCTTTCCAGTACCTCAGATATTACCTTACATTAGAAAATTGTGTATTTATCCCAGTTTTATTAATGTTATTCATTTCACCATTCTTCCAATTTAGCCTACAAAAATATAGTTTTTAAAACTGGTGGAATTTACAATACACAAATTTGATTTTTATTCTGTTTTATTAATTTACTCCATCTTTTTTTACCCAAAATTTAACAAGCAGAATACCAAAATTTGGAAAGGAAAAACACAAATGAGAAAATATCCTTGTTATCAGGGAAGCTATCTTTTAGTAATGGAGACAAGGAAGGAAATATCATTTAGAGTATATTGTTGAATATTGACATAGGATGAGTATAAAATGGAGCCCAAAAGAATATCAAATGGGACTTAGATGAGCGGTCAAGGAAACTTCCTTGAAGAGATAATACCTGAGCTCAAGTTACATTTCAATGAGCAGGCATTAGATGAAAAGAAGAAAGCCAGAGGTGGTATATACAATAAGACAAAATCCATTGACTAGGGGTATGACTTAGTATTTGTCTTATATTATTCATGTAGCTGTTGATGTAGGAAATTCTTCCATACAAAACTATTTTATCAAATATGAGATATTTCAAAAAATTTATGGAAAACAAAAAAATATGGAAAATGCAATCAAAGATAAGTGTATGTGGGGCTGACACCATGGCACAGTAGGTTAATCTTCTGCCAGCGGCACTAGCATCCATATGGATGCCGGTTCTAGTCTAGGCTGCTCCTCTTCCAATCCAGCTTTCTGCTGTGACCTGGGAAAGCAGTGGAAGATGGACCAAGTGCATAGGAGACCAGGAGGAAGCAAGTGGCTCCTGGCTTCAGATTGGCGCAGCTCCAGCCGTTGTGGCCATTTGGGGAGTGAACCAGCAGGAAGAAGACCTTTCTCTCTGTCTCTCCCTCTCATTGTCTGTAACTTTACCTCTCAAATAAATAAATAAAAATATTAAAAATGATAAGTGCATATTGGTATATTTTGGTGCAAACATTTTAATATTTTGTTTATTTATTGATTCAATTTTCTTACAAGTAAAATGTACAAAAAACCACTGTTCTACCAGAATATAGACAAAGATTATTAATAATCAAGTCACAAGGTGTCCATTTTGCTCATTTAATTTAAACATTTTTGTACTGTTTGTATTTTAGCCATCATAAATTAATGAAAACATAATAATTGTCTTTTCGTGTCTGTTATTTCACTATTTGAAATCTACATGTAAGGTAAATCTTCAAAAGATTCAATGAATGTGATTAGTAAATCACCTAAACATATTATCAGAAACTATGAAAGTATTGAATGAAAACATAGGAGAAGCACTTCAAGACATTGGTGTACATGATGATTTCTTGAATAAAACACAAAAAGCACAGACAAAAATGTAAAACTAGACAAACAGGGTAATGGACATCTCAGAAGCTTCTGCACAACAAAGGAACAATAGATACAACATAGAGCCATCCAACAGAACAGGAAAAAATATTTGTCAGCTATTTATTTGACAAAGGATTAATACCTAGATGTATCAGCAACTCAAAAAATTCAACAACAACAAAAACAACACAGTCCAGTTGAGAAATGTAGAAAAGCCTTGAACATATAGTTCACAAAAGAAGAACTACAAATGGCCAAAAGAAGTATTGAAAATTACTCAGTATCGCTAGCCATCAGGGAAATGCAAGTCAAAACCACAAAGAACTATAATCTCAGCTCTGTCAGAATAACTATTATCAAAAATACCATGAGTAACAGATGCTGATGAGTTTATGGGAAAAGGGAATTATATAGTGGTGGGAATGTAAATAAGTACAGCTACTGTGTTAAACTTTATGGAGATTTCTTAAAAAAAAAAAAAAAAAACTGGAATAGGAAATGCCAAATGATCCAGTAACTCCACCAATGGGAATATATCAAAAAAAAAAAAATGAACTCATTGTATCAGAGTGATACTGTACTGTTCAAAATAGACAAAATATGGAATCAGCCAAGTTGTCCACCAACAAATGAATGGATAAAGAAAATGTGGCTCAGTAGGAGGGATAAATTTTTTTAGATTAAAAATAGGGAAATATGGGTATTATTAATCAATTGTGACAAAGGCACTAGCAAAACATGTTAAAATAAGGGAAACTGGGTGAGGGGATCTGGGAACTCTGTATTGTTAGTGAATTGATGCCGTATTGTTTGGCGCACCAACTCAAGTTCCCAGATGCCAGCCCAGCCACTACCTTCTACACGAAGTTTAGCTAGGATCCAGCCTGGCTTACTAGGAGTTAGGTGACCGGATTGCCCATCAACAAATGGCAACCCCACCACCACTCATGGGATTCTCCGTTCTCACCCCCTCATCCCACAAGACCTGCTTTACACACAGGCCCTTTTTTTGTTCTCTCCCTCCAGCCTGCTGGGTTTCCCCCATCAATAATCCCTTTCACTTACTGCAGCATTCGGTGCATTTTGTGGTGGCCTTTCACAGGTGCCATGACTTGGATCCAGGATCCCCCACTGACCTGCTCTCCCTCTGGGGATTTGAGCTGCTTCAGGATCCTGGACTTCTGCCAGCCACAAAACATCCCCCCGGACCTCCTTCTTTGCCACCAAATGCTCTGTGATGTCCATCCTCACACCAGCCATCCAAAATTCTGAGGAAAGATGGTTAACAGAGAATTCTCCCACTTCAACCTCTACCACAGGTTGTGGTTCTACTCTGCTTGTCTCTAAGTCCTGATACCAGGCACCACCACTTTTCACTGGCTTTCTGCATTTCCATGGGCTCTACGCCTGGGGCAACAGTGAGCATCAGTGACAACCACACCCACTACTTCCCTTCCACAGGCTCGCTCTATGCCTTGGGCTCCAGTGGGTGCAGATGACGAATCCACTCTCTGCTCCCATACTCTCCCCATTAGACAGCCATGATCTCAGGGATGCCTGATATCCACTAGTCCAACCCCCCGATTATGGGAGCTTCCTCGCCCTGCATTCCATCCGACTCTCCCCTTGGTTGTATCTTAAATAATCCTATTCCTCTCAAATTGGCTCCAGCTCTCAAATGCCATCACCTCATCTTTCTTTGTAATCAGGCATGGCCCATGTATGACCTCAGCAACCA